ACTTTTGGGGATTAATTTATTTCTAGGTATTCTTTTTGAGGGCATTGTAAAGGGATTTCTTTATTTCTCTTATAGTTCATTATTAATGTATAGAAATGCAACATATTTTTGCTTATTGATTTTATATCCTGCAGCTTTATTAATTTGTTGATTAGTTCAGAAACTTTCTTGGTATAGTCTTTAGGATTTTCTTTATATAACATTACATCATCTGCAAATAGTGATAATTTTACTTCCTTTCTAATTTGGATGGCTTTTTTTCTTTCCTTGCCTAATTGCTGTGGTTAGGACTTCAAATACTATGTTGAATAGAAGTGGTGGGAGTATGCATCATTGTCTTGTTCCTGATCTTGAGTATATAAGTGGTGGACTTGTCATATCTGGCCTTTGTTATGTTGAGGTACATTCCCACTGTACCCAGTTTTTATCACAAATGGATGGTGAATTCAGTCAAATGCTTTTTCTGTAACTATTGAGATGATCTTAATTTTTATCTTTCATTTTGTTAATGTGGTATATCATGTTGATTAATTTGCAGATGTCCAACCTTCCTTGTATCCCTGGAATAACTCAACCCTTGTTGAACTTAATTTGCTAATATCTTATTGAAGATTTTTGCTATTATACTCATAAGAGAATTTAGACTATAATATTTTTGTGGAATCCTTCTCAGGTTATGGTATCAGGGTAATGATGGCCTTGTGAAAGGAGTTTGAAAGCATTCCCTCTTCTTTTTTTGGAAGAGTTTGAGAAGGATTGGTATACATTCTTCTTTGGATGTTTGATGTTATTTAGCAGTGAGTCTGTCTGGTCCTGGACTTTTGGTTATCAGAAAGTTTTTGATTACTGCATTCAGTAATTACCAATAATTGGTCTTTTCACACTCTATTTCTTCATGAGTCAGTCTTAGTAGTTTTTTGTTGTTCTTGTTTTGTTTTTTGTTTTTAAGGAATTTATACATATTTTTCCTAGACTGCCAAATCTGTTGATGTATAATTTTTCTTGGTAATCTCTTAAGGTCATTTGTATTTCTGTTTTATCTGTTATAAAGTCTCTTTAATTTGTAGTATATTTATTGAGACCTCTCTTTTTCTTAGGCTAAAGTTTTATTAATTTTCTTTATCCTTTCAAAGAATCAGATCTTAGTTTCATTCATCTTTTCCATTGACTTTTTAGTTTCTGTTTTATTTTTTTCTGGTTTTTATTATTTCCTTCTTTCTACTAATTTTAGGTTTTGTTTGTGTTTCTTTTTCTAGTTCCTTGATGTGTAAAGTTAGCGTGCTTATCTGAGATTTTTCTTGACCTTGAAATAGGCATTTATCACTATGAACTTCCCTCTTAGAACATCTTTTGCTAAATCCCATAAATTTTGGTATCTTGAATTTTCATTTTCATTTGTCTCAATGTGGTTTTTTATTTCTCTTGATTTCTTTGATTCATTGGTTGTTCAGTAGCATGTTGTTTACCACATATTCATAAATTTTCTAGTTTCTTCTTGTAATTGGTTTCTAGTCTTATACCATGTGATCAGAAAAGATGCTTGATGTGACTTCAGTATTATTTAATTTATTAAGACTTTTCTTATGACTTAATCTTTGATCTTTCCTGGAGAGTGTTCCATGTGCATTTGAGAAGATTGTGTACACTGTTGTTGGATGGAATGCGTATATATCCATTAAGTCCATCTGGTCTAATGTGATGTTCAAGGTTGATGTTTCTTTGTTGATTCGTCTCTGGCTGATGGGAAGCTAGTCCCTCAAGCAGCAAGTTTTAAAATTAGCAAATATAAGCTCGAGTTGCTACCAGAGCCAGGGTATCTAGAAGAGTTTCTCTGGGTAGAAGCTTCAAAAATTAGGGCTCCAGATGAGTGTATAAGCTCCTTTCTGGGAGATACTGGCAAGCTATAGCAAGGCTGAGGAGAGTGTCTCCTGGCCTGTGCTACCTGTGAGCATCTCCATAGTTTAGATGTGCCAGACCAGAAGCCTGCGCTTCAGACTAAAACTCTAGGACAAGCAAAAGGCCTCTTTCACAGAAATTCTGGAAATATGTTTTAGGCTTCTGTCTCTGCTGTGCCCTTAGGCTGCTCGCTTGCCAAGAATTATCTCTCTGATTGTTACAGTCCTATGAGACCCAAGGACATAAGCTTCCTCTGGCCACCAGAGCCAGGCAGTCATGGGGCAGAAAAGACCAGAGCACTGGAAGTAAAATCACTTCATTAGATCAGTATTCCAGGAGATACTGGTGCTCTGGTGCATAGTAGATGGACAGTAAGAAGATAGTGTCCACCTTTCAAGGTCTCTGGAAAAGATTACAGATAGCCCTGAGATATATTTTGAATTCGAAGCCTGCCCCTCAGGTGATAAACTAATAAGCCTTTTTCATAAAAGAATGAGCTCCTGGCCCCTTTTCCCCTTTCTATGTTTTGGGAGTGGAAGCTGTTTAAGAACTCCTTCTCCATTGCTTGTTTTCCTATGGGAACCATGACCATCAGCCCCAAGCCCCACTTGGGGAAAGGCTGTGGGTTTTTATTCCCTCCTGATTGTGGATTGTCAAGCAAGGGGTAGGTTTTTATGGTGAGCACGTGTTTCAATCTTTCCTACCTGCTTTGATGTGTTTTTTTTTTCCAATTGTTTTACGTATAGCTGTTGCTTCGCTAGTATTTAGGATTTTTTTACAGAGGGAATTGTTCCACGTGTGGAGCTTTAGTTTCAGTGTGTCCATGAGAGGAAGTCAAGATCTTTCTATATTGCCATCTTGAACTAGAACCTCACTGTGCATCTTTATTTAAGATCTGGGTCAGTTTCTTCACATTTCCATAATTCCTTTTCTTATTATCTAAAGCAGGGCTCTCAATACAAATCTCAATAGGGGCTTAGAAGGATTTAATTGGCTATTTTTTATGGAGTCTCTGGTATACAGCCTGGTTTACTGTAGCTGCTTGATAAAATGGCAATAAAAATTAAGTGCTGGCTCTTTATACTGAGTCCAGTGCTCCTTCCACTTCTCAATATAGTTATCCTCATAAAGGATGTTTCAGCGCCTAAATCCCAATGTGTGGTGGATAGACTCCGGAGTGGTTCCCATCAGCCTCACCTCCTTGCGTTCATACCATTCCGTGATCCCTTCTCCTGAGCACGGGCTAGATGAGTGATTTGCTTTTGACCATTAGAATTTCCTAAAGGGTGATGTAATGTGTATGGTGTGTGTGATTACCTTACATACAGTTGTAACATTGACCTTGCAAGTAAATTCTTTGTCCCTTGCTGACTTTGAGGAAGCAAGAGGCCATTTTGGGAAGATGCACATGGCAAGTAACTGAGGTCATGAGTCTGATAGCCTGCAGGGTAATGAATGTTGTCTACAACCATGTGCTCTTTGAAGTGAATCCTTCCCCAGTTGAGCCTCTGATGAGACTACAGCTCTGGCTGATATTTTCAATGTAGCTGTGTAATGTCCTAAACCATGCCCAAATACTTGACATACGGAGACTGTGAAATAATGTGTATTTTTTTAAGCTGCTAAATTCTGTCAGTAATTTTGTGCATAGGTAACTAGTACAGATCTTTAATTGTGCAAATAATTATATTTTGAAAGGAAAAGTGTTCTATAAAGTTCTGAATTATTTAAATTCTAGAGAAACCGAGTTTATGGCCTTATTGATGGTACTGTTGAAAACATTTCTCAAAGGTACAGCAGATAGTTTTTGTCATTGTGTGGAATAATAGCTGATGCTGAATATACTGGTCTCATAGTTCCCTATTAAAATTTAAGAGCTTTTAGGCATCTTGTTAAGAATATTTTGCAGTGGAATTTCTACATACAGAAGTTTGGGGGAGTGTGTGTGTGTGTGTGTGTGTGTGTGTGTGTGTGTGTGTGGTAAAAAGCATTTAACATAAAATCTACATCTTAACCTTTCTTTTTTTTTTTTTTTTTAATTTACGATAGTTATACAGAGAGAGAGAGAGAGAGAGGCAGAGACACAGGCAGAGGGAGAAGCAGGCTCCATGCACCGGGAGCCCGACGTGGGATTCGATCCCGGGTCTCCAGGATCACGCCCTGGGCCAAAGGCAGGCGCCAAACTGCTGCGCCACCCAGGGATCCCGTTCTTAACCTTTTTTAAGTGTATAGTTCAGTAGTGTTAAGTATATTCACCATGTTGTAAAACAGAGATCCAGTACTTTTCTATCTTGTAAAACTGAAACTCTGTACTTATTATACAACTCTTTTCCCTGACCCCAAGTAACTGCCATTCTACTTTCTGTCTCTATGAATTTGACTAGTTTAGCTACCCCAGGTAAGGGGAACCATACATGGTTTGTCGTTTTCTGATTGTCTTATTTCATTTAGCATAATGTCCTCAAAGTTCATCCATGTTGTAGCATGTAACAAGATTTTTTTCCTGTTGAAGTCTGAATATAGCTTTTTAAAGATTTTATTTATTTATTCATGAGAGATACAGAGAAGTAGAGACATAGGTAGAGGGAGAAGCATGCTCCCTACAGGGAGACTCATGTGGGACTCGATCCCAGGATCCCAGGATCATGACCTGAGCCACAGGCAGATGTCCAACTACTGAGCCACCCAAGTGCCTCTACTTTTAAAATATTTTTAATTATGAAATATTTCAAGCATAATGAAAAGTAAAAAAAAATTCTTAAGGATTTTTTATAATGAGAAATGCTAACTACAAACAACCTGAAGCTCTGTGACTCAGAAATACATGAAATGGAATAATAGAATACTTTGAGTAAGCACATATTAGTAAATAAAATAAGTTATTTATTTTTCATATTTCTTGCTAGATAATTCTATAAAGAGTATTTGGTAGAGATAACAAAAATGTAAAATATCTGAAACCTACATTATCATCTAAATTTTATTAAAAATTAGTTCATACTGTTTCACATAGTAACTGATAAACCAATAATAAAAGAGATACATCTTTATAATTACATAAAAATAGAGTTAAACAGAACACAGAAGGAAGATAATATTTTTGTAATAAGCATATTGGGACTTATAAAGTATTAGGCTTTATTCCCATTGTTAATTTACACAAATGCAAAATAAACATGAGGAAGAATAATCATTTTGAAATACCATTCTTATTATACTTTAAGAAACATGTTAAGTATAAAGTCAAAATGATCAGATAAATCACTGTCTTATTATTTTAATATATCAAGTTATAAATTTTATTCCACTTACAGCTGCAATAATTTCACTAAGGAAATATAGAAGAGAATTCATCTGGGAGCACCTAGGTGGCTCAGTTGGTTAAGTGACTGATTCTTGATTTTAGCTCAAGTCATGATCTCAGGGTTATGTGTGAGCCCCATATCAAGCTGTGTGCTGGGCATAGAGCCTGCTTGAGATTCCTCTGCACCACCCTACCACTCACTCACTGTCTATCTCTCTCAAAAAAAAAGAAGAAAATTCATCCACAAGCTTTTCTGTTTTTCACTTTTCTTCCAGCTATCTCATTCTCCCCTTAGTATTCTAATTTCCTTTCAAATGGAGCCATAGAGATATTTTTTCTAGAGGAAATAAGTCAGCCACTTTTCAGGATTACTATAAAAATGTTTAGATTCAATTAAAAGTGTTAAAAAGATGATCTTTAGATCTATTGGAAGACAAAGAACCCAAATATGAAATCTCTTACTTTATAAGATCATTTAGTTTATTGCCTCAGTTTATTCTTATTTTGACTTTCTATTTTAGTGTCCATTCTAATAAAATATAGTATACAGTTTTATGCAGACCATCACAAACCTGAAGTAAGAAAGTCATGTTGTCTTAAATTGATTATCATAGTAACTGTTAATAGGTAAGTTCATTTCTCATAAAAACTTACCATTTTAAAATGGTCTGTATAGAATTTTTATATAATTTATTTTAGGGAGAGAGCAAGTATGAGTGGGGTGAGGGGCAGAGGGCAAGGAGAGGAAGAAAATCTCAAGCAGACTCTGCACTGAGTGTGGAGCCAGAGGCAGGGCTCAATCTCACAACCCTGAGATCAAGACCTGAGCTGAAACCGAGAATCAGACACTTTAACCCACTGTGCCACTCAGGCACCCCAGTCTGTATAGAATTTTTAGAAATTATTTCAACCATGTCTCAAAACGCTTGGTTCATGATTATACTGACCAACAAAAATACATTTTTTAGAAATAAAATGTGTTACTCAGTAGGCAGCTAGCTACATGGCCATTTATATGTTTTTATGTAGGAAATAATGCAAGAGATTTTCTAAGGTGGCCTCCTCTGCACTCTAAGCTTTTACTTTTTGAAAAATGCATAAGTACTTTCCTTTGGAAATTATGTAGCCTACACATATTTTATAAAAATCACAGAATGTGGGAACATGGACAATCTGAGTATATCAGAAACATGATGTTCAATATCATATGGTCTAAAATAGATAAGGCTTCTCCCAGATATCACATAAGGTTGCTAAACAGTTGAATTGTCTTTGTTGTCTTCTTTTAATGGCAGTCATTCAAACAATTGTGTTTATTAATTGCCCACTACATGAATAACGCTGTAGCAGGTGTTTGGGGAGAGTGTGGAATCCTTTAAAAAGGGAGACTTCATATTATAAGCCCTTTGAGGTCTTTATAATCTAATACCATGCACTAATAGTAAGGATATAGTAAATAATACTTGACATAGAGGGCACTAGAACACATTCCATTTCCTGTGCGTGTGTGTTGTGTGTGTGAATGTAATAGAAATAAGAGAAGTAACAGAAACTACAGGATTGTTGGAATGAGTTTTGAATGTTATTTTGGAAGAAAGATGCTTTCTGACTGGGAAAAATGGTAAGCATTTGGCTTGAACCAAGAGGATGACAAGCAGTTGCCTGAATAAGGAGACATTGGGTGTAGGATGTGAAAGCATATGACTGAAGGTTTGAATGTGATGTTTGAAAAACCACTATAGGGAGAGATAGAACTAAAGTTACTCTTCAGGAAAATGTTTTTGTGATTATGATTAAGATAAACTGCATGAGGAAGAGGCTTTGGGAAAGGAGGTTGGTACATTTGTGGGTTTTAAAAGTGACTAACACCTGAACTTGGGCTACAGCTTAAAATTAAATTGAAATTTTCAAGATGACCCTCAAGGGGCTATGTTACTCCAATCAACTTAACATCCAAATGCTGTATTTAAAAATCCTTAGGGAAAGGTTTCCAAACATTTTGTCTGTTGTCATAGATACTTCAAGACTAAGAAGAAAAAAAAAATAATTCAAAGGGAACACGAGATGGCAGCAGTTATATCATATAAAGAGAACAACTGAGGAAAGAAAAACATTTGAAATTATTTTTAAAGTAAAAAATATGTAGCACTTTATTCCTTATGCGGTGTATTCCTTTTCATTTCAGAGATTACTCAGTTATTGGTTTCATGCTTCACAGCACATCTGAGGTTCATTCCGACTAGTAAAAATCCTACTCTATTACATGTGATTATTTCCTAAAATAAAGCTGTTGCTGTTTTCTGCAAATTATGGTTCCTCTGTGTTATCTGAAGCAGAAGAGTTCTGGATGGTGCAAAATTGTTTTAAATGTTCCAGCATTGCTTTTTCTTCCTCTTCTAGTCTTTCATCCTTTCTCATTTCCCATCTAAAAGAAAAAAATCACATCTTAGTATTTTTGCAACTTCCAAACTATAGTCAACACTCAGTTATTCAAGGCTTGAATATTTGTAGTCATTGGTTTACTGAGGCATCTGTTTCTCCTTGTTTATTCTTTTACTGACTCCCTCGGGCACCAAATTTCACTGGCACTGCTCCTGCAGAATGAGCCAGAAAAATGGGAAAGTGGAGTCAAACCAGTTCCACTCCAGAGTAAAGTTTTAAAGTATTGTTTTAAATGTGCTAATTTTAAAAACGTATATGCCTTACTAGGATGGATATACATGCATATAAATAAAACCTAGAATTAGCAATTAGTAAGTATATATTTTGCATAGTATTCTTCCTCACTGATTAGCTTATCAGTGACTTTAAGTTGCAGAGAGATTTGCCAGGAAGACTAGAGCAGCAAGAAGAGTATCAAACTAAACTGAATATACCTTAAATGCAGGTCAGTCTATTCCTAGAAATAAAATCACATTTGAAGTAATCAAGTTAAAATGACCCAAGAAAAGTAGCAAATTGCTAGCAAAATTCCATAGGGAATTGGCTAAAAAAGAGATTAAATACCCTAATTTTGGGTGATAGGGAGATATTTAACAAAGTGTTAGAATATGGAAGTGTTTATGAATATAATCTTTAAAGTAAAGAGCACAATAACCCAAGTATGGTTAACTCCTCCTTCTCTGTCCTCTCTCATATCTGCCACTTCCTCAAGCCTGGCCAAGGCACACTTGACCAAGCAATCAAACACTGAATCATCTACATATATTTTTTCTCTTCTTCACTCCTAATTCTACAACCCCAAAGACATTCACCATCATATACTGTTACTAAAGGATATTAAACACAATGTTTCAGTACTAAAAATATATATCCTAAAAGACCCTCAGTTATAAGGGGTTAGGATTTCTAACAACAAGCAAGGAGCTGTTCACTGAATGTTTCCAGAAGCCTACTATTTTATTACAGTCAGAACTCCTGGATAAGAGTCTATCATACATGAAGAAAGTGTATGGAGTTTGTAGTAGGATCTTTCTGGTTTTCTTCACTGAAAAGAAAGCAGAGAGAGGCATCGCATTTTACGTAGGAAACTACTATTAGGATCCTTGTTCCCACACACAGGTTTTCTTGGGAGTATTGAGTTGCTATGCTCTGACCAGCCATGGCAGGTGGTTTATATAAAGAAAGAGGAAGGAAGAGTGGAGAATAAGAGGGTATTATCTGAGAGATTAGACTTTGGTTTAATTTACATTTCTTCATCATTGTCTGCCTAGGATTCTCATTTCCTAGCCCCAACCCTGGCTGAATTTAAAAACCGTTATTTATGGTTGTCTTAATTTCTCTATATGTTCTCATATGGTCAGAGTTAGGTCATTAGTCATATAGGTTTTAATAACAACTTTAAGGATAAAGAAATTTTTTATCACTACACTGCTCAGTCAGGTGATGAGCCCTTCTCCTTTGGAAAGTATTTTTAAATTTAAAATTTACTCCATAAGGTTACCTTCTACTGTTTTCATGGAATTTTAAAGATTAAAAACTATCATTACCTATTTTATATAGGTGAACTTGGGCATCATTCATTTGCATCTTGATTGAATTCCTTCCAAGCAGGAAAATATTAATAACAGAAAATACTTACATAGTAATATGTCTTAGGCATTGTTTTAAAAAGTTGACGTATCACTCTTTAAACCTGTACTAGAAAATGTTGTTATTCCCATTCTACAGAGAAGTAAACTGAGGTACACAATGTTAAAATGTCACTAGTCCAGGTATCATTAGAGTGACATCAGGCAGTCAGGCTCAATAGTATGTACTTAAAATTCAACAATCAATATGTTTAAAACCATTTACACAGGGATCCCTGGGTGGCGCAGCGGTTTGGCGCCTGCCTTTGGCCCAGGGCGCGATCCTGGAGACCCGGGATCGAATCCCACGTCGGGCTCCCGGTGCATGGAGCCTGCTTCTCCCTCTGCCTGTGTCTCTGCCTCTCTCTCTCTATCTGTGTGTGACTATCATAAATAAAAAAAAAAAAAAAAAAAAGCAAAAATAAAATAAAATAAAAAAAATAAAACCATTTACACATATCATTAATTAATGCTAAAGTAGGTTGAATACTTTATTTCCAGAAAAATGTTGCCTAAATTGAACTATATATTTTAAAAAACCCTCTAAAATTAATATAGATACATGAAATACAAACATGAAAAATTAAGTTTACCGTTTTTATTCCATGGAAAGGTGCTAATATTGTACTAAGTAAATGAATTATTTTATGAATGTCAACAGAAAAAAATATGTAATATGCATATAAATATTTTGATCATTGTCTCCTTGTGAAAATTGAAAGCATGATCTCTGCCTCATTTAAATATCTGTATAATTAATGTAATTTAAATGTATTGTATACATAATAGAATCCAAGATAAGGATTTTGAAGCTTCATGAGAATTGTAGAACCTCACAGTATAATTGAGCTGTTAGTAATTAATGATATTAGGCAACATAATTTGTTTACTACAGCCTTCTTATATTTGCTTTGTGCTTAATAAGAAGAAATCAACTCATATAAGAAATTTTGACAAAGGTATAAAAATAATATTAAAACTACATTTTCTCTAATAATTTTACATTATTGAATAAAACATTAGGGATTTGAAATGTATGTTTATTTACCTCAAGCACGTTTTATTTCAAATCTATGATTTTTTTGAAGATTGACATCATATTAATTTCAGGAGTACAGCATATTGGTTTCATATTTATATACATTACAAAATGACCGCCAGGATGTCTATAGTTACCACCTACCACCATACAAGACTGTTATTATAATATTGTCAACTATATACCTTGTACTGTAAATTCATCTTGAATTTTTCCATGGCTTATTTTATAACTGGAAGATCATATCTTAATCTCTTAGTTATTTCATCAGTCCCTGCATCCGCCTCCCTTCTGGCAACCATGTTTGTTTTCTGTATCTATGAGTCTGTTTCAGTTTTGTTCATTTGTTTTTATTTTTAAGTTCCACATGTAAGTGAAACCATATGATATTTGTCTTTCTCTGACTTATTTCATTTACCATAAAACCATCTAGGTAACATCCATGTTGTGGCAAATGGCAAGAATTCATTTTTTTTAACGGCTGAGTAATGTTTCACTGTATGTATGTATACCACATCTTTATCCATTTTATCTATCTCTGGACACTTAGGTTGCTTCCATATCTTGGCTACTGTAAATAATGCTAGTGTTTTTGTTTTTTCCCAGATAATACCCAGAAGTGGAATTTATGGATCATATAGTTCTATTTCAAACTTTTTAAGAAACCTCCACCATACTGCTTATCACAGTGACTTCACCAGTTTACATTTCCACCAACACTGCAAGAGGATTCTCTCTTCCACATTATTGTCAACACTTGTTATTGCTGGTCTTTTTGATAATAGCCATTTTGACAGGTGTGAGATGACATCTCATTGTGCTTTTGATTGCATTTCCCTGATGATTAGTGATGTTGAGTATATTTCCATGTGCCTGTTGGTCATCTGTATATGTTTGGGAAAATGTGTATTCAATCCTCTACTCATTTCTTAATCAGAGTTTGCTTTTCTGTTACTGGGTTTTAGGATACTTTAATATATTGAATATCAATTCCTATTGGAGACATTGCTTTCAAGTATCTTCTCCCATTTAGTAGGTTGCCTCCTTGTTCTCTTGGTTTTAGTTTGATGTAGTGCCATTTTTCTTTAAGGTTTTCTTTTTAAAATTAGGGTAACTCTATAACCCCAAGATCAAGTCACATGCTCTTCCATCTGAGCCAGCTAGGTGCCCCAAGTAGTGCCATTTTGAAATTTTTCCTTTTGCTATCCTTGTCTGAGGAGACTGATCAAAAAAGTACTGCTAAGACACATATCAGGGAGCTTACTGCCTACATATTCTTCTGGGAGTTTTATGGTTTTATATCTTACATTTAATTATTTTATCCATTCTAGATTTATTTTTGTATAGGGTGTTAGAAAGTGGTCCAATTTCATTGTTTTGCATGTAGCTGTTCCTGGTTTCCAACACCATTATTGAAGAGATCTTCTTTTCCCCACTGTGTATTCTTGTTTCTTTGTCATAGATTGACCATATAAGCATGGGTTAAATTCTGGGATGTCTGTTCTTTTGCATTGATTTGTCTCTGTCTCTGTCTTTCTCTTCCCAGTATCATATTGTTTTGATTACTAAACGTTTGTAGTCTAGTTTGAATTAAAGAGCATGGTACCTCCAGATATTCCTAAGATTGCTATGGCTACTTGGGGTCTTTTACGGTTACATATAAATATTAGGGATTATTTATTCTTATTTGAAAAGTGCCATTGGTATTTTAATAGGGATTGCACTGAATCTGTAGATTGCTTTAGGTAGTATGGACATTTTAACAATATCACTCATTCTAATCTGTGAACATGGTATATCTACTTATTTATGTTCTCTTCAGTTTCTTTCATCAATGTCAGAATACAGTATTTTCACTTCTTTGTTTAAATTTATTCCTAGGCATTTTACTCTTCTTGATGCAGTTGTAAATGGGATTGATTTCTTCTTTTTCTTAAAGTTTATACTTACTATTTGGGCTTTAACAGAGAATGTTTGTCAAACACTGTTCTAGAGCAGTGATTCTACCGGGGTGGCGCTGTCTCCCTATGGGGAAATGTGGAAAGCATTTTTGGTTGACATTGTCTAGAGAGTGTTTCCATGATCCAAGGAAGAGAGATGGTAAACATCTTTAACGTACGGCAATCCCAAACATTAAAGAGTTTGTCTTCCCAAAATGTCAATAACATTGTTGCTCCAAAACATGCTCTAGAATCTCCAAAATACTGTTGGAACATCCCTATCTAATTTGTGGTTTTAATTGAAATGGTTTTAGTGTTTCCCAGTTTATAATACTGTTTGCTAAAGAGTGGAAGTTTAGAAGCCAGGTGATGGATT